ATGCATTTAGGTTTTTTTAACCAGTAACTACCTTTCCACTACTTTATTTATTTGTTTTAAAACAAAAAAAAATTGTATTTTTTCAAGTGATTGCAATAACTAATAATAACAATTCAGTTTTTCTTAAACACTACTAACATTTCACTTTGTGTTATTTTCTTTCGTGCAAAATATGTGTCGTGTATTAGCATGGTTGCACGGATATACAGTTCCTTTATCAAAAATTTACTATAAAACTAAAAATCCCCAACCCTTCAATTCAAACAACTAACTTCTACTTCTCTAATCATCAAAACAAAAATATGTACAACACGCTTTTTGCGTAACTGGCCTCATCGAATAGTTGCTTGCAAAAGAACAAAGTAACCCCTCCTATATATCACTGATGGAATAACCCCTATGACACTAACCGAGTAACACCTATAACACTGAACGAGTAACCTCTACAACTTTGACAAAGTATCTCCCATGATAGCTTGACACATTTGCGTGACCACCCACGTATAAGAGTAAGGTTTTGTTCTTTTGAGTTTATGAGCAGAATAGAGCACATCAGATTGCAAAAGAGCAGAGCAGGCTCAACAAAGTATATCAGATTTTAGCAGGGTAGAGCCAGAGCAAACCATAAATCAATAACTATATACTAAAAGACACACCAACAATGACACATGTCATCACCTCGTGTCCTTTTTTTTTTTACTTTTTTACTTTGCATTCGATCGGCATGCGCTGATATTGAGTGAAATAATGGACTCGGTGAAACACTCGGAGGTCGAATTATTTCACCTGCCAATGTGGATCAGAATTTACAATCTCCCACTTTAAGGAATATTAAACGTTGCTAACATGGAAAAATTTGGCAACAGATTGGGTGTGTTTGTGAAGTTGGACAGTGAAGCAAAGGTGGGTATTGACAAATCCATACGAATCAGAGTTATGGTTGATGTGCGAAGACCCCCTTGCAAAGAATGTGAAGCTGAAGTTAAGAGGTGGAGTTGAAGAGTTCTTTGAGGTAAAATATGAAAAACCCCCATTGTTTTGTTACTATTGTGGACTTATGGGACATGGAATTAAGGATTGTGATGAACATAAAGATTATGATAACCCAACCATTCCTTATGGGCGGAGTGGATGAAAGCTTCACCATGAAAATATAGGCCGGGATTTAGAGGAGGTAATGATGGGGAAGCAGGAAGATCAAGTGCAAAGTTCTTGTTTGTTACAAAACCGAAGACGAGTGAAACAAGCCAGCAAGAATTAGCAAATGTGCGTGAGTTAGCTAGTAAAATAAAGGAAGTGGGGTTGGACTCTGAGGTGGGGTTGGACATTGAAAAAATAAAAAACAAAGAAAAAAGTAGTGAACCTCTTGTTGGGACTGGTACGGGTTTGGCAAGGGAGGAGGATGCTGGAAGTAGCTTGTTTGTTTTCAATAGTGGGGAGGATGTTGTAACTGAAGAAAGTTAGGCTACCCAAGTGGCAAAGGAGGGTAGTGGGGAGGGAAAAGTAGGAAAGGTATGGAAGAGAAAGCTGAGAGATACTGATCACAGTATGGAAAGGAGTGTGATTATTTCGGGAGAAAAAAGGAAGGGCAGGGAGATGGATACTAATAAGAGTGATGTGATGACTGATGATGAGGAAAGGGGAGTTAAAAAAAAAGAGAGTGATGTCGGTGACTGCTGAAAAGGTGGCGAGCCCCACTAATTGGGCTCTCGGTGATAAATGAGTTACCTTCTTTCTTAAAATTGTAGAGGTTTGGGGAGCACCGCCGCTACAGTTAATGCACTAAAACACATTGTTTTTCTTGAGCGTCCCCAGGTTGTGTTCCTTTTGGAGACAAGATTGAAGGCCTTTGAGATGAAATAAATTAAACAAAAAATAAAATACAATTTCTGTTTTGTTGTTGAGTGTGACGGTGAAGGAAGGAGAAGGAGTGGGGGTCTTGCACTTCTTTGGCAGAGTACTATTGATTTAGTGGTGAGCTCCTATGAGCAAGAAGAGTAGCGTTTTACGGGCATTTATGGGCATCCGGAGGAGGAGAATAAATACAAAACCTGGCAGCTATTTGAAAATCTTCGAGACTCAAATGCAAAACCTTGACTTGTTAGGGGTGACCTCAATTTAATGCTCCATTCACATGAAAAAAAAAGGGAGGGAGAGGTTTTTCTTTTGAGGAGGCTGGCATTCTTCGAAATGCAGTCGATAGGTGTCAGCTTGAGCACCTTGGCTTTATTGGACATGAGTTTAAATGGACAAACAACCAAGGAGGGTCAAAAAATATACAAGAGCGCTTGGATAGATTCCTAGCAAATCATTCCTAGAGGGAAGTTTTTATGGGATCCTTTGTCTTTCATCTTACGAAGAGAAGGTCAGATCATTTGCCCATTCTTTTATGCATCAAAGAAGTTGTGCCGAAACAGAAAAAAAGAAAAAGAAAAAATTGTATCGTTTTGAGGAGATGTGACTTCGTGATGAGAATTGTGCCGGGATAGTTTCAGAGGCTTGGGAGCGTGGTGGTGATATTTCTTCAAAAATTGCCTTTACTTCTTTGAGTCTAAGTGCATGGAGTAGAGAGAAGTTTGGTGATTTTTTTAAGGAGATAAATGATTATAGAGCGCAAATGAAACACTTTATGGGGGAGGATCAATCAGAGGAGGTAATTGCGCAGATGAGAGCTATAGATGATCATATGGATGAGCTTGAGAGGAGGGAAGAGATGTATTGGAAGAAACGAAGTAGGCAAGAGTGGTTGAAGCACGGTGACAAAAATACGTCTTTCTTTCATCACAAGGCAAAACAAGGAGAAATGAGAAATAATATTTCTATTATAAAGGATGCTGCTGATAATTTGTATAATGAAGAGGAGCAAATTTCAGAAATTTTTGTTTCTTATTTCGAGGATTTGTTTGCGGGAAATAGTAGTATCGAGCCAGAGCCAGTGTTGGAGAAAGTTGATCCTATCATTGATGAGAGGCAGTTCACGAGCTTGGCAGCCCCCTTTACTGCTGAAAAAGTCCGAGTTGCACTTTTCTAGATACACCCTACAAAGGCTCCCGGGCCGGATAGTATGTCTGCAATTTTTTTTTTCAAAACGTTTGGGACATTGTTGGGGTTGATGTTATTGGGAAAGTACTTGGTATTTTAAATAATGGTGGGGATGCAGGTTCTATCAATCAGACTCATATTGTGTTGATTCCGAAAAAAAAAAAAGAATGTGAGTCTCCTGTTGATTATAGGCCTATTAGCTTGTGTAATGTCTTATATAAAATTGTTACTAAGGTGCTAGAAAATAGATTGAAGTTGGTGCATCCCTACATTGTTCATGAGTCATAGAGTAGTTTTGTTCCGGGACGCTTGATCACAAATAATGTGTTGGTGGCTTATGAATGTTTTCATTACCTCAGAAAGAAAAAAAAATGGAAAAAAGGCTATCTGGGTCTTAAGCTAGATATGAGTAAAGCTTATGATAGGGTGGAATGGGTTTTTCTAAAAAAAATGATGTTAAAATTGGGGATGCCGGAGAATTTTGTGGGGTTGATTATGAAGTGTGTTTAACTGCATCTTTTGATATTCTTGTCAATGGTCAACCTTCGAGAAAGTTTAAGCCTAGCCGGGGGCTCAGACAAGGCGATCCAATTTCTCCTTTTCTGTTTATTTTGTGTGCCGAGGGCTTGTCTACCTTGATCCGTGATGCGGAGCGCATGAATCATATTCATGGGGTGAAAATTGTTAGACATGTTAAACCAACTTCTCACCTATTTTTTGTAGATGATAGTCTTCTTTTTGTGAGAGCTACAGAAGAGGAAGTTGAGAATTTGCTTGGAATTCTGTCTACTTATGAAGTGGCTTCGGGTTAGATGAAACTGAATATGGATAAATCAGAGGTGTCATTTAGCAGAAACATTGATCAAGAACGGAAAAACTTTCTTCAGATGAAGTTATCTTTTAAGGCTGTCGAAGGACATGACAAATATCTTGGGTTGCCAACTTACATTGGTAGCTCTAAGAAACAGGTTTTCCAAAATATTCAGGATCGGATTTGGAAGAAACTTAAAGGGTGGAAAGAGAAGTATTTATCTCAGGCCGGGAAGGAGGTTATGATTAAATCAATTGAGCAAGCAATCCCGACTTATTCTATGCAATGTTTTGCGATCCCAAATAGCATTTTAAATGTTGTTGAAAAATTGTGTCGTCAATTTTTTTGGGGTCAAAAAGGTGAAGAAAGGAAGATTTTTTAGGTTGCGTGGGATAAATTGTATGCTTCAAAAAATCAAGGAGGTCTTGGCTATCAGAATATGAAATTTTTTAATATGGCTCTCCTTGCAAAGCCAATGTGGCGCATTCTCTCAAATAAGGACTCTCTCATGGCAAAGGTTCTTAAAGGCGAATTTTTTCCGCACACATCGTTGTTGGAAGCAAAAGTTAGACCAAATGCTAGTTATACTTGGAGGTCGATTTTGGGAGCTCGAGATGTTCTTATGAAGGGTGCTCGGAAGAACATTGGAGATGGAACATCTATTAATATTTGGAGGGATCCCTGGATTCCAAATACGCCTGGGTTTAAAGTTGGGACGAGCCAAAATAACAATGCTACGGGTATCAATTGTGTGCGCCAGTTGTGGAACAATAGGAATTTAGATACGAATGTATTGAAGGCCACTTTTTCAGAAATTGAGGTGAGCAATATTCAGAATATCCCCATACCTCAGTTTGACCGAAATGACTCGTGGACTTGGCACTATACCAAGGATGGTAACTATTATGTGAGGAGTGCTTATCATCTGTTGCTTGAGGATCAAAAGCATGAGGTGGCTTCTCCTTCACATGGTGGCTGTTCTTTTGATTGGAAATCGATATGGCATGTTGATCTTCCCCAAAAAATCAAATTGTTTGCTTGGCGTGCAATTAGAGATGTTGCTACCAAGAGTAATCTAGTCTGAAGAGGTATGTCTGTTGATCAGTTATGTCCTTTGTGTGGTGAATGAAATGAATATACTCTACACATGCTGGTGAAATGCGGGGATGCAAAACTAATCTGGTATATTTCGCCACTAAGGTTAGACATATTGAAATTTGGTGGGGAAACCTTTAGGGAATGGTGCAACTCGGTCATAGAGACTTATAAAGATGTAGCTTGGTGGAACATTTTCTGGAGTATTGCGTGGGGAGTATGGTTGAAGTGCAATAGGTGGTGTTTTGAAGGAAAAAGGTGGAAGAGTAATGAAGTCATTCGAAGAGCAGTAAGTATGGTTGGGGAATTTGAGACGGTGCAGGAAATAAGCAATACAAATCCTTCTTCCCCGACCTTGGACTCGAGTTGGAAGCCTCCTATGGAGGGTGTGATTAAGGTAAACTCGGATGCAGCGGTTTTTGCTCCTAGTGGGGTGGGCCTTGGGGGTGTAATGAGAGATAGTGTTGGTGATGTTGTAGCCTCAACATGCTTGAAATTGGAACGAAAATTTGAGGTGGATGTTGTTGAGGCCCTTGCTATGAGACATGCTCTTAACATCGTTATTGATTTCAGATTTCGCAACGTTTGCTTAGAGACTGATTGCTTGAAGCTACACAACCACCTGGTGAAGAGTATTACTCCTAGTACTGCTTTTGGGGCGATTGTGAAGGATTTCCTTCAGCTATCCACAGTTTGCCATCTTGTTTCCTTTTCGTTTGTAAGGAGGAGTGGCAATCGGGTTGCTCATAACTTAGCCAAATTATGTCTTTCTTTTAATGAACTTAGAGTTTTTATGGAGGATTTCCCTAGTGATGTAATTGAATTTGTAGTGGCTGATTTGAGCCCTGATGTTTGATTGAATAAAGATTGTTCTTCCCGTCAAAAAAAAAAAAAAAAAATAATAAATAAAACTACGTATTGTAGAGTCCTAATAAGAATATTTGAAGGTTATCACAATCAAATTAGTATTCCCAACTAAGTATTATAGAGTCCTAATAAAAGAATATTTGAAAGTTATTACAATCAAATTAGGAAATAAATCCCTTTGTTCTTTTTTTTAAAATTTATATTTTATATTCACATTTACTATTTATATGAAATGAAGTAGTAAGTTGAAAATGAGTTTCTATATATTTTTACTTGTTATATAGGAGAGAGACGTCATTTAAATACATTGGTATTATTACATATAGAGTTTTGTGTGGGCTATGTGCGTGATGACATAAGAAGTGATAAACTGAATAAAATTGTATTGTAAAAGGAATAAAGGGTAAGAGAGAAAAAAATGAACATATAGCAAAACAGAATATAAGATGATGAAAAGAATGGAAGAAGTGATATATAGTCTCAAATAAGAATATATGTAGGCTATTACAATCAAATAAGGCAGTCCCAATCAAGTATTATAGTGTCCCGATAAAAAATAATTGAAAGTTATTTTAATCAAATTAGGCAATCCCAATTAAGCCTTATAGAGTCCCAATAAAAATTAATTGAAGATTATTTTAATCAAATAAGGCAGTCCTAATTAAGCATTATAGAGTCCCAATAAAAAAAAAGAAAAATTGGAAGGTTATTACAATCAAATTAGGCAATCCTAATTAAGTATTATACAGTCCAATAAAAAAATAGTTGAAGGTTATAAGAGAAGGAAATTAGGAATTGAACTGAATTAAACTAAACCGAACTGATCTGAAATTAAGCTGAAGAGAACAGTAACGTAGGCCCTTAGCAAATTAATCTTACTCACTTTTTTTCATTAATTTGCTCCACCTCATGACGCGAAGCGTGTTAGAAGAACTTATCTGCTATTATATTATTATAGTGTGCAAGTGGGGAAAATGTGTCATTGTTGGCAATAAACTGATAAGAATATTTGAACATTAAAGCATATATCCACCATTGTATTTAAAATTGAAAAATTTTAAAAAAATTGGATGTACAATAAGATATTGTACCTCTGGTTTAAAGTTAAGTAGTTGAAATGATCATAAGTACCCTATAATGAATAAAAGTTACCCAATATATATAACTAATATAAGTTATCCTGATATAAAAATAAAATTATTTAATCTTTAGTGATAAAAGTTACCCTAAAGTTAACAAAAATTACTCTAAATTCAACAAAAGTTACCTCGGTGCAGCACATCGAATGTATGCAAAAAAATTTCTTCACAATTAATTTAAGTTAACAAGGGTGTCATTGTTGGAAAAATGACAAAAATTATAGTAAGATCAAATCCTCTTAATTTCATCATACCCTAATAAGGTGGGGATACCCACCCATGATATAGGTCCACCCGCAATAAACAAGAAAAAAAATAATAAAAAAAATAAAACTTCTTTTTTAACACTTTTGATGATCTAGAAAGAAGTTGATGCGCATAAATGGATTAATCGCTCCAACTAATTGTTGTGAAATGAACGACAAATATATAAATCATCACTAAACATAACACTTTTACTTATTTCTATGAAATTATTGTTTAACATGCCTAAATAAAATCTTCACTTTATTTTTACCGAACTTAAATTAAATATATTAAATGTTTTTTTTTCAATATACTGAAATTAATTTTACTAATTCTTTTATCATATTTCCAAATAACTCCAAAGACATGTATGTATGTATTTATATACATAATAGTTGTGTGCACCATACGATGCTCGGGTTGTTTATTGAATTTTAAAATAGAACTTTTTATCTAAATTATATATGTTATTTGAATTTTCTACTCATGGATTAATAATCATTTTACAATCATACTTGCCCATTTATGGGTATTTTATGGATTAATAATCACTTGACATTTTTTTCTAAATAGAAGTAATAATGTACAACAAACTAAAAAGAACGGTTGTTTAAAGTTGTGATATCTTTTTCATTTTCTCTGAACATCTAGGGAAAGGCTAATTATATGTTAAGACTTAAGAAAACGATTATATATAATAACGTGTCTCTTTGATTTTTTTTCCCCGTTTGTATCTCTCTGGATCCGCCATTTTGTATTCAAATATATAAATATATATTGGTATTTTATTGAAAATAAAATTCTAAATTAAAGTTTTATTGAAAATATACCTCTCTTTCGAAAAAAGAAAAGAAAATAAACCTCTAAAATAATTTTTTTATCCCATAAAATGTATTCAAATTTTATTGAAAATAAACTCTAAAATAACCTTTTTTTTATCTTAGACTACAAAAAATATATTAATATAAATCCTACATGTCATATTATTTATTAATTAATTGTCGCCTACATAGCGCGACACTTGACGCAAAATTGGAATACCAAGTGTCGTTGTTTATTGACCTGACTAAAAATTTAGCTTCATATATTAGCTAAGTTATATATATTTTCAATGTATACAAAATTAGTAAAAAAATTAATAAATATGTAAATCAATATTTTAAAATACAAATATGTGTAAGTACATATTTTTTTAAATTATATTATTCTTACAAAAGATTATTAAGGATAGATTTTAGTGGAAAAATATCACCATGACTAAGAAAACTAACCGCGTACTTTTATTTTTTTTTTGTATTTTTGGTGATAAATAACAATATTTTCGTTTATTTTGTGCCAAATTAGTTTTTTTTTTATTACTTTAGATAATTGAGGATAGATTTTGTTAAAAATGTCACTATGATTCAAGAAACTACTAAATACGTTATTTTTGTCCAAAAAATAAGTTGTTTCATATAATCATATGTTGGAATTTTTTTTAAATTTTTTAAAATTTAAAAGCTGCAATTTCGTTTTCTTTTTAACCAATGTAATTATTTTTTTTATATGAATGAGTTACATGAATGAAGGAGTTATTTAATTATGGTTTTGGAAGAAATTGGGTATGTTACCTCCACCAATGATGTTCATGGTAACAATGATGGTGATTGTCAGATTGTGGTGAGTCGGTGACGGTTCATGAATCTATATCATGCCTCAAAAAAAAAAAAAAATTAAAACCCAAAATATAATTAAAATATGTTAACTTAAATTTATTTATAAAGTGTTATCAGTTATGAGCAATTAATCACTTTTTTGGACTGGGTTGTGTTTTAGTTTATTATTCTTAAATTTATTCTTGCATTATCATATATTTGGAATAATCTTATTAAGTATTATGTAGCTAGTGATAATAAAAAGTATATGAAGGTTACAATCAAATTAGCTAGGCAGTTCCAATTAGAAATTATAGAGTACCAATAAAAAATATTTGAAAGTTGTGACATTCATCAAATTAGGTAGTTCCATTTAAGTAATATAGATTCCCAATAAAAAATATTTGAAAATTATTACAATAAAGTAATAAAGTTAGGCAGTTGCAATTTTTAACCAAAATTAGATTAAAAAAAGTGGACATTTTCTTTACTACTAAAGGAATTAAGCAAAATTGATAAGATATAAAAAATATTTGAAAATTATTACAATAAAGTAATAAAGTTAAGACATTTTCTTTACTACAAAAGCTATCCATAAGCTATCAAAAGTTATCCATGATGCTACAAAAATTACCCATAACTTTTCTTTCCTATTTATTCTTGCTATCACATAGTAACTTACTATATATAAGTACACCGGGTTTTTTAAGATATGCGTTTAAAATTATATAATTCATCATATTCTAAAACAATGAGAATGCCCGATCATTACTTGGCACTCTAAACCTACCAAACAATAAGGTTTATGCATGATAAGTGTATAATGTCTTTAATATTAATTTAAATTTTAGGTGTGCCCAAGAAAGTAGAGAGAGAAAGAGTACTTTAGAGAGAGAAAGTAGAGAATTAGGAAAAAGTTACCATCATTAATAATTGGAGAGCTATTTATAAATGTACTTTCAGGTGGCAGAAGTTGTACTTGTTTGGACAGATTAAGGGTAAATCCGTATTTTACTCCGTTTATTGATGGGCTGGATCATGGAGGGGTATTTTCGGAATTCCAGGTCAATGGGCTTAGGACAATGGACTAGGCCCAAACATTTAGCCCCATGTGTGATGTGGGAACGAGATCGTATGAAGTTCAGATATCACGCGGAATATAGATGAGAGAAGTTGTCACATATGCTGGAGTAAATCCTGAGGCGTGCCTGAGGGCTAAAACGAGCCCCAAGAAGATTTGAGGGCTAAAAATGAGCCCCAAGCGACTTGCAAGGGTGAAAACCAGCCCCAAGCAATGCATTAAAGGTACTTTAATTCAAATGATTGAGTAATTTTGAGAACTAAGCTTGATGATAGCTTAGAGATAACTGATGCAATTTCAAAATATTTTCTTCAGACTGAGCCCCATGTATATTGTTGAAGGCATGACTTCTTGATTTTCGACTAAGCTCACCGAAAATAATGTGGTGATGACAAAATATTCACTTAGGAAATTGTCATGAGACAATTAGACAAACTCACAATGTAAAGTGTTAAACCATGCTCTCGGCTTAATTTGTTATAAGCAAATTAAAGACTTGGGCCCAAATGATAAATACGCCCATTTAGCTTGGTAGCCACCTTTCTTTCATTTCCTTCACATTACCCCACGTGCCTCCTTCATCATCATATGCGAACAATTAAAGTTGTTTGACTATTCCTTCCATTCTGAAAGAGCTTATTGCTATTGTTTTTGAGTTGCCGACCGTTTAGGCTAGAAATCCGAGAGCTATGTTCGAAATTCGAGAGCCTTGCTTAATTGAGAAAAGCCAAAGGCGATGTTGGTAGTATTGCTGAAAGTTGAGCTTGGTCTGAACAGTACTCCTGTCTTCGGATCTGATTAGTGAGAACCCAAAAAATTCTCCTTTTCATTAGAACTTGGGTAGAGGTGGACAACATGCGGAGCGAATAGATCCATTTGTGAGGACAAC